GCTGCAGAAAAGACAAAATTCTAGCCACCGAAAAGGAATGAGGATCAACCTCCGCAGCAGCTTACTAGGAAATATGTCTTCCAGGTGCGATGGTATATCTTCTATGCCTTCATCATGGTAGGAATCACCAACTCTGACAGAACCCTGTCTCTCAGAACCTGGCTTTCAATAGCCAAACCATTAAAGCCAGTGGCTGTAAAGCAGGGTGGAAGAAAGGACCTTGAGACAGAAGATCTGCCCTGAGAGTCAGATGCCAAGGAACGTCCGCGACCAGCCACACCACGTCGGCAAACCAAGGGCGACGAGGCCAATCCAAAGCCACCAAGATGACCAGAATGCCTTTGGCCTCTATCCTTTGTAGAAGCCAGGGTAGAAGCTTGAGAGGAGGAAACTCAGAGGAGCCGATACTGGCTCCATGACGCTACCAGGGAATCCATTGCATCCGCAAACGGATCCCTCGTCCTGACCATGAATCTCGGCACATTCCTGCTGAAACGAGAACTAGGAGATCCACGTCTGGGTGCCACACTGGAGGCAAATCTGATGAAACACGTCTGGATGCTTGGTCCAACATTTGACGGCAGAGTTAGTCCGCCTGCCAATTTTCCACGCCGGGAATGTGCACAGCAGAGAGAGCCGGTACATGATGTTCAGCCCACTTGAGCATGCGGGAGGCATCCAGCGACGCCGACACACTCCATGTCCCCCTCCGGCAGTTGACAAAGACCACTGCCATGGCATTGTCCGACTGGATCCAGACCGGGTGCTCCCAAAGACGTTCCATCCACTGATCGCCCGAAGATCCAAAGACATTGATTGGTAATCGAGACTCCTCCGGCGCCCATCGACCCTGGGCCGAGCAGGCTGGCATCCGTAATGACCACCGTCCAATGCAAGGGAAGAAAAGATTTCCCTCCTGAAGGACAGGAGGTCGAAGCCACCAAAGCAGAGACACCCTGGTCTTTTGACCCAGACAAACCTGGGTGTCCAAGAAGTCGGGGAACTTGTCCCACTTGGACAGGATTTCCTTCTGAAGTGTCTTTGTATGAAACTGAGCATATGGAACCGTCTTGAAGGCAGAGACCATCAATCTCAAGACTTGCATGCAACAGCAAAGGGAGGGCCACCTGCAAGACAGCAACAAGCGAACTGCCAATTGAAGCTTCTGTAGCTTGTCCAGCGGAAGGAACACCTTGGCCAACACTGTGCTGAGAGTCAGACCCAGACACTCCAGCTTCCTGGCTGGGGTCAGAGTGGATTTCTGGATGTTCAGGATCCACCCAAACTCTTGCAAGGTGCTGATCATGATCGCCACGTTGTCCCTCAAGGCCAAGTGAGACACCGCCCTCAGTAGAAGGTCGTACAGATAACCAATCACAGCAATCCCCCATTGTCTGAGCAAGGTCAGGACAGGAGCCAGCACCTTGGTGAAAACCCAATCTTGGTGGAAGCAAGACCAAAGGACATCGGCACGAACTGATAATGCTCTTCTCCCACCACAAAGCGAAGGGAATGCTAGTGTCCAGTATAGATGGGGATGTGTAGGTAGGCATCCTTGATGTCAACAGATGCCAAAAAAAATCTTCCTGATAAAGGGAGGCCACAATGGACCGAATAGACTCCATCTTAAACTTCTGCACACGCACAAAGCAGTTCAGGGCCTTGAGATCCAGGATCGGGCGAAACAGTCCTCTTTTCTTCAGAACAGTAAAAAGGTTGGAGTAGAGCCCCAAAACTGAATCCGGAACTGGAACAATCACCCTTTGACTCAGCAATTCCTGCACTGCCCCGTATAAGGCCTGCAGGCGAGTTGAAGAAAGGCAAAGGTTGAAAGGAAACCTCTCTGAAGGACAAGACTGGAATTCTGATTTGGAGACTTGGAGCCCTTATCAGTGGATCTGGGGGGGGGGGCAAAAAGAAGGACCGTGCTCGTGACATGGTTCTTTCCCCTGTCGGGACTGCGGAAGAAAAGTACTCTTCCCCCAGAAATATTTTTTATATGATGTCGCCCAGGGTAGCTTCGAAGAGGCAATCACCCTGGAAGGGCAAATCCGTGAGAGCCTTCTTGATGTCTGGTCTGCAAACCAACATTTGAGCCACAGTACATGTCGAAGCACCACAGCTGAAACGGAAAGCTTGGAAAGCAAGGGGCCACATCCAGGGATGTGTCACACACAAACTTAAGGCCCTGGAACAGCTGGTCTGCCAATTCCACGTAAGTTGGGGGGACATGCCCCCTCCCCCCTGCAGGCCGTGGCGAAGGTGTTTGGCCCATTCAGTGAGGGTCTGGGACACCAGGGCAGTAGCCAAAACCGGTCGAAGAGCCAAGCCAGCAATAGTGACAACATCATTTGGGCAACCGACTCCACCTTCCTGTCTGCCGGATTCTCAAAGGATGGAGACTCCTCCACCGGTATCATGGTTGCTTTATCCAACCTAAAAATAGGAGGGTCCACAACAGGCGGCGCAGTCCACTTCCTCAGAAGAGATTCATCGAAGGGATAGCGCATGGAAAACCGTTTAGGGACAACAAAGGGCCTCTTAGGATGTTCTCAATCCTTTTAAACAAATTTGTCAAAATAAGGAGGATCAGGGAACACCTTCGTCGCACGCTGTGGCCTCCGTGACCACCCCAGAAGCATCCTCCATCTTTAAGCTTAATCGCACAGAGATAAGTGCATCCACCAGCGCCTTCTCGTGTGCAACAGCAGCAGCAGAGGACTCATCCTCACTGTCGGAAGGGTTGGGAATCTCGTCAGACGGATGTGCGGGCATGCCCGCGTCAATAGCAGCAGAGCCAGACTCAAAATCTGACGAGGCCAATGAAGCAACAGAGGGCAGGGGTCCCTTATTTCTTGCCTTAAGCCCTAGCGCCACCTCCACCCAGGAGACAAAAGACTCCAGACCACCATCAATGTGTCAATGGGAACAGAGGTCCCTGAGAGGCCTGCAGCCTTAAGAGGGGGAGGGATCAGGTGGGGAAATATGGTCCTAAGGTTCCATCTCTGGAAGGGGACCCACAGGGAAGGCACTGCTAGGGAGACCCAATAGCCGCAAGAAACCCCAAATCAAGAAATATAAGGCAAGCAGAGAGGATACCCCAACAGGACTCACCACCAAGGCACATGCAGAGCTGCCAGCAGTCCCCTCACGAAGGAAGCAGCCATATGGAACACACATCCAGCACAACAAGACACCCAGGAACAGCTGCCCCTGTAACCCCATGGGTGGAGGTAGCAAAGAATCTGCTGTGGGATTACAAGAAAATGTCTGAAACCCCGCCCACCAAAAGCCAGGCTCCTACTGGGCAATGAAGACACCAAAACCGTGGCCACCAGACTGTATGACTAAGCTGCAAGAGGAAAGCCAGACTTCAAGAAAATAGCCATAGCCCCAACGTCCCTCCCCAGAGCCCAGGCACTAGCAAGGCCCAATACATTAAAACAGGCTGCTGCAGGGCTATGAGAAAATGGCCGCCACTCATGGCAGAAATGTCTTTGGGAAGATGGCTGCCGAGAAAGAGACACAATAAGCCCACTGAACCAGCCACAGGACCATGCAGCAGCATCACATGGCACCCACCACCCAACAGCAAGCTAGGCAAGCAACACAACTTGTCAGAGCTTGAGAATAGCCTGGTACACAACCCCAAGGTAACTGCTAACACCCAGAAGGTGGCCCAGACCAAGATAGGGCGGTGGAAAGGGGACCGGTGGAAAGGGGCCCAGGAGCAAATCTGGCAATACAAGAGGTCTGGCAGGGAGGAGGGGACCACGCAGGACCAACCATCCCAAGGAGCACCCATGCCCCGCACAGCACCCAGAAGGGTGGGGGGGATGTTACTTACCAATCCCCCCCCCCCAAGTGGAGGGGCTGTCGGCCTAGGTAGCGCTGTGCTTCAGAAGTCCAGAGCCCAGTCACATGCACTCCTATGAGGTGTGTACCTCGCCAGCCACCCCAGTCCAGGGTTGGGCACGTTGTGGCCCACCCAGTGCTCGGCTAGGGTCTGCACGCACTCATTGGCCAGGCTGACCACCGGATCTACATTATCCAGCTTGTCGCCCAACCTGGCTGTTGATTGAAGATCTCCGCAGGAAAAAACCCAGAAAAAATGGAGAACAAAAAAAAAAAAAAAAAAAAAAAAATCCTACGGAACCACAGGTCCCAGCAGGAAGCAAGGTCACTATTCCTGAACACTGTGCAGAAAAAAATGAATTGCCAATGCAGAGAGGGGGTTTATATCAGGCAGGACTGTCCATAGGCATTGCCGAGTTTATTTTTTTCTGCCTAGTGTCCTACTACTGTAGATGGCGATGGTCAAGAATGGAAGATACGGTGTCCGTCAATGAACGAAAGAGAAAATAATTTTAACCTGTGTGTGCATGAATAATAGCATTTACTATGCTCCCATCCTCATGTTTTTATGCAGGCATTTTCTGCCAGGAATCTGATGTTCATGCATTGGTACAATGTGTAAATAACCAAAATGTCAAACCCTTGTACCCCAACTCCAGAAAAACTAAAAGTCCTTCCGTGAAGTGAAAGAGGGTTAACTGCTCATTTCTCTCTACAGGATGTGAAAAGTACTTTTACTTTCTGAGCCCAAGCACACAGCCCGCCCCCACATTCCAGCAGTGGACTGTCCCTCAACATCATGTTCAGTGCAGGTCTATGGGCTCTGCATTGGTATTGATGTCCTCAGAGGACTTCAACCACCACAGCACAAGTGGAAAGAGGCTGCATGGACACTAGTCTAGGGGTACGAAGGAGCCTGCGGGAGCTGGGATGAGATATGTAAACTACTGTATCTGATCCTCCTAGACATAAACCAGCAGTTTAATGCACAGCCCCACTGCAGGGGAGGACTTTTAATCTTCCTGGAGTTCAGCTTTAACACAGCCATTTGCTAGAAGCTGGGACTGGCCAAGTATAAGACCCTTTCAAGTTTTACTTTGGTGGAAAGGGAGGACAGGGGTGGATGATATTAATACATTAATACTCTTAAATTTGAGCAAGATATTTACGGACCCCATAAACTCCAGGAGCAGCGATACATCCAACTCTGGAGGGATACGAAAGACAGGTCCCAACAGTTTCCTAGGCCTTCCTCGATTGGTGATGTTTGGTTGTGGGGCTGCTACATAAAAGCAAACAATGTTTTACTATGTCTGCACACATGGACCACAACTGAAAGAGTAGTTAACAATATAAGATTTCCAAATTAACCACCTTACCACCACTGTAGAAAAAAAAAAAAAAAAAAAAAAAAAAAAAACGCAGTTAGGTGGACTGTTTTTGAATGGCATTGCAGAGAACATGCACAGGCAGCCATTGCACCCTTTGAATATCTAACTGAGCTGAGCTGTCATGAGATATCACAGATCACAAGCATAATGTCAACTGCGAATTAGAGTGGCTCTGTGATTGCTGTAATGTCCACTGCCTGTGTTCACATTTGAAAGCCCTCCGCATCCACTTACAATAGAAGAGGGGGGAACAAGGCAGCTCTAGCTAAAGCAAAGGTTTTTTGTAAGTTTTATAGAAGCAGAGATTTAGGAAAAGCTGAGCATATGATTAAAAAAAGGTATAAGCAGAGTTTACATGCAGTGAAAATCTAAGGGCAATCATCAGCAGATCCAAACAGGCCAGGCAGTTAAACTTACATGAAATCTGCATTTTTTCTGTAAAAATCAAGCTTGGTGCTGCCCACCCTATTTTGGGAAGTCCTGTAAGGGGATGTAAAACCTAACCACATGACATTTCGTTTCCTAACAAAATACTGTTTTTGCTATACTATTGGAGGTCTGTATGACAAAGTGATAACGCAGAAGCACACTTGGAAGACAGGGAACTGTCATACTAAAACAAAGTGCCTGATCAAGAACCTTAATGGTAGAATAACCAGTTATTAGTGCCTGGGTTTACATACACAATCTGAACAATCAGAAGGCTAAGGAGCAGGGACACACTAAGACTAGCCATGAACATGGATGAACAGGAGAACGCAGAATTCCTCCATCCACGCTGAACACTGTAGATAGAAAAATCTCCCCTACTGGCTATTGTATTCAAATAGCTGCAGCTTTCCGAACACCCAAGATGTGGTTTACTGTTCGGCCAAATATTTTCCAACCATCTCCTTTGATGTTTCATCAAAGTTTGTTGAGTCAAGTCAAGCGGTGCTGCTGACAGGGCCACCAAAGGCTCAAAGCCATGTATGGCCAGCTTAAACTTTTACAGGACAAGTGGAGCTTATCATATAATTTCAGCTTTCTTTATCTCTTCATCCACCAAACGTTTTCTTTTACATTTACCTCTGCTTATGCTTTTTTTTTTCTCACACTTTTAAGTTCAGTTGCACAAATCTTGTTTAAAGTGGTTCTAAAGTCAAGAAATTGTTTACCTTAATTCATGCCCTGCATTAGGGTAAAAAATGTCCCACTGCTTATTTCCCTTCTCCCCCTAACTGAACACTTACCCGAGTCCTTTCTCTCGATCCAGCGCTCTGCCCATCTGCATTGCTCCTTTCGCACTCCTCTCACAAGGGGCTCCAAGAGCAGCAGCGAGCCATTGGCTCCTGCTGCTGGGAGTCAAATCCTGTAAGCAGGGAGCGTGGTCAAGCTGTGCTGTCTGTGCACATCTATGGATGCACAAAGCCCGGCTTGGGAGCGCACCTGCTTGGGAATGCCCCCTCAGCACACGACTTGCTGAGGGGGCACTCTGAAAAGAGAAGGAGCAGAGTAGGCCTGCGGGGGAGACCAGAAAACGAAGTAAGGAGTACCATTGCAGGTAAGCATAACATGTTTAGCAAAAAGCAAACTATACCTTTAGAACCACGTTAAGATCCTCCAGCAATCACCAGACAAACTCTGTACTGGAATTTAACATGAGGGGTAACAAAGATTAGTAAAATGTTACACACTTCTACCAGCAGCAATAAAATTTACCTGGCTTTGGAATTTCAAGGCCTCTTTCTCTGTAAAAGTCATACATTTGCTTTTTTTCACCTGCAAAAAAGTGCAACACAAACCATCAATCCCAGTAAAAAAACACACACTTTTACTGGACATTTTCTGCATTAACAAGGCCAGGGGCTGTACCTTAAAAAGGCTTACTGAGTGTGTGCTTACCTCACCACACAGCAATGGTACTGCATTGGCTACTGCGTCTGGTGCTCTATCCACTGAACAGAAAACTCTGAATTTAAAGTGGTTCTAAAGTATAAAGGTTTTTTTTACTTTATTGTATTCTCTGCATTATGGTAAGAAACATCATCTTTTCTAGCCCCCTCTGTTCCTAAACACTTACCTGGCTCTGGCACTGTCTTGGCAGCAGAACCACTCCCCTCACTTCCTGCTTTCACAGGAGACACTGAAGGCAGAAAGCACCATAGGCTCCTCGTGCTGTCAGTCAAACTGCCATGAAGTAGGGGCATGGCTTACCTTCTACAGATACACACAGCCCAGCTCAGAAGCGGGCATGCACCAGTGGAGGACTACTGAATAGCAGAAGATGTTTCTTTCTGTGCAATGTATGGACTGTCATCACAGCCAGTGAGGAGGGAGCAGGGAGAGGGCCCAAGCCACACTCTATGTGACTTATGACAAATAAATATAAATATGTGCAGCGCTAAAATGGTTATGCGTAAAATGAATATAAAATTTCAAGGATGTATAAAGTGCTAGATATCTGAATACAGTACTGGTGACCCAGACTAAATAATAGAGAGAGAGAAGTGCTAAATGATGCCCAAATAAAGTGCTAATTATCCTATGAAATATGTCATGGTGGATGATAAATAATAATAAACGTCCAAACAAATGTAATAAAGATAAATGAGATTTCCAATAAATATCAGTAATCCAAATAAAAGCGAATCTTGTTATCCCAGTAGTTAGCAAATATTCCGGTGACGTGCGGGGTATAGTAAAAATGCACACTCACCAGATGCGCATTTTAAGTGCGCAGTAAGTAATTATTTAGTAAACAGCCAGAGGTCCCCTCTACGGTAGGATGGAATACAGCCTGGGATGGATAACCCTCCTCTGAAGCCTGGGGTGGTAAGAAGTCTGCCAGAGGTCCCCTTTAAGGTAAGCTGCAATATGGCCTGATGTGGATCTCCCTCCTCCTGGATACTGGCATGGTCACCTGGGTTCCTGAGAGATTAAATGCTCGGTGCAGAAAAAAAAAAGGATGGTGTCCATAGTGTAGTAATTAGGTAATAATATAGGGTTTTATTAAGCAGAGATTTAAAATCCAGAAGACATCCGTATGAGTAGGAATGACATGCAGCTTAAAAGCTGCCTAATACACTGACCAGCTGGTAGGCAAAGATGGCCGCCGGACCTCCGTGATCTGGCAGCGTGACGTCACAGTGTGCAGGCTCCTCCTTAACGAGTTTTGTACCACGTACGTTGTCAAAAAGGGTGTGCCATTGCCGCCGGACGTCAGCTGTCTCCCTTATATGGCACGGAACATGGAACATGCACGCGCAAATTATTGGGCGCCATTTTGCCAAAGACCCATGTAAAGTGCGCATGCGCGTAAAGTGCAGGCGCCATTTTTCTGTGGGTCGGACCTGGCTATATAGAACAAACAGCTTGTTCACCTGGATCGAGATAAAAAGACTCCTCCAGGAATGCAAATGCATTAATGTCGATATATATGTGGCATTATCTATTTTAGCGCTGCACATATTTATATTTATCATTTAGAAGGTATACGGTTTCCTTATTAATGTACTAGCTGCTTTTATTATTAAGCGCTCGCTGAGTCCCATTTTTACTGTATGTGACTTATGAAATACATTTTTATTAAATTGTTTTAAGTTTTTTTAACTTAACTTCATTGCTACTACATGGAGGGCTGATAAGTGCTAGGATAGTGCAAGTGAAAGGTTCACTTTAAGGAGACATCAGGAACCAGGCTGTGCTTGATTAGCTTCTTTCCAGGCCAGGTAGCTCTGAATCTGAATTACTCAAAGCTGAGAACTTCTTGGGTCATACTTCACACGGAAGATCAGAAAAACAGATGTTCTCTCATCCTCTACTGCTCTCCATCCTGACACTCGCCATGATAGTGCTGACATCCAGGGGGCTGCCTGAATCACTTCTAGTAGACGTCCTCTCCCGCTGCTTGTAATAGCAATCCAGCGGCTAGATGGCTGCTCAGATATTTAATCACTTGAAATCCATTTTTTGCTATTTAGCACTGTGCTATTTTAAATGGTAATTGCACAGTCATGCAACACTGTACCCAAAATAAATTTATATAATTTTTTTCACACAAATAGAGCTTTCTTTTGGTGGTATTTTGTCACCACCGGATATTTTTTGGGTGAAATAAATAAAAAAGTCTGAACAAAAGCCCGAATATCTTAAAAAAAAAAAAAAAAAACAACCCAGTAAGTGTATATTGATTGGTTTGCATGAAAGTTATAGCGCCTACAAACTTTGGTGTGTGTGTGTGTTTATTGGGACACCCCTCCAAATCATTGGATTCAGATGTTCCAATCACCTCCATGGCCACAAATGTATAAAACCAAGCACCTAGATATGCAGACTGTTTCTTCAAACATTTGTGAACGAATGGATTGCTCTCAGGAGCTCAGTGAATTCAAGCGTGGTAACATGATAGGTTGCCACCTATGCAATAAGTCCATCCGTGACATTTCCTTGCTACTAAATATTCCAGCCAACTGTTAGTGATATTATAACAAAGTGGAAGCAACTGGGAACAACAGCAACTCAGCCACAAAGTGGTAGGCCACGTAAAATGATAAAGTGGGGTTGCGCACAGTGCAGAACTCACGAACTGTCTGCAGAGTCAATAGCTAAAGACCTCCAAACTTCGTGTGACCTTCAGATTAGTACAAAAACAGTGCGTAGAGAACTTCTTGGAATGAGTTTCCATGGCCAAGCAGTTGCATTCAAGCTTTACATCATAAAGTGCTATGCAAAGCGTCGGATGCAGTAATGTAAAGCACTCCGCCACTGGACTCTAGTGCAGTGGAAATGTGTTCTCTGGAGCGACAAATCACGCTTCTCTGTCTGGCAATCCGATGGACGTGTCTGGGTTTGGTGGTTGCCAGGAGCACAGTACTTGCCTGACCGATGTGTAATGTGTGTAAAGTGTGCTGCTTTTTACTAATAGATCTCTTAGTTTCTCATTCCATTTGTAGAGAGCTCTGTGTTGATTGTCAACACGGAGCTCTGCGCTGTGACCATATACAGCCAATCAGCAGGTCCTGGCTGTGAACCTATAGGTACGTCACTTACCGTGCGCGGGTCGCCCAATAGCAGTACATTGCGGGCGGGCGGGCTGTCTGCAAGTGGTAAAGGTGAACTAAGCCTTTAACAAATTAATTGAATATCTAACTAGGTGCACATTTTTAGCTTGCTTCATGAGAGCTGCCAGATCCCACTGGCACACTACATACATGCAGCATTGTGTATATGGTCACCCCCACTAACCTCATCATTCTGCCAGTTATTCATTTCTAGACTTGGATTATGAATTTTCTTGCATGATTACTAAGGAGGACAGAGTCTTACTTATACAAAAGTATCAGCAGTTTAAGTAGCTGATCATCACAGAACTGGTTTGACTTATGAGCACTTTATAGTCAAAGGATGGAAAGCGAGACCCAGGACTAAAATGTATATTTAAGTGAGGGTAATTTTAAGATGCTTTGGTCCATTTTCTCATTGGTCAGAAAGTATCTGCGTACTTAAGCAAGTGGACTTAGTATAGTGAAAACACTTACGTTCTTCCAAATTAAGGACTAATTTGTAGACTATGTCTTGTAACTGTCTGTCCAATCTGAAAAAAATAAAATAAAATGTGCATGAAGTCCTAGTAATTTAAAGTGATACTAAAGGCGCATTTGTTTTTTAAATAACAAACATATTATACTTACCTGCTTTGTGCAGTGGTTTTGCACAGAGCAGCCCCGATTCTCTTCTTCTCAGGTCCCCCGCTGGCACTCCCAGCCCCCTCTCTCCTGTCAGGTGCCCCTATAGCAAGCAGTTTGCTATGAGGGTACCTGAGCAGGCGCATTACCGAGCCGCTGCTACATGTGTCCATCAACACACGGAACCACAGAGTGAGCCGCCCCTCTCTCTTCTTATTGGCTCACTAGCTGTGATTGACAGCAGCGGGAGCCAATGGTTCCTGCTGCTGTCTCAGCTAATGAGGAGAGGGAGTCCAGGGATAGCCGAGGCACATCACTGGATGAAGAGGGGGCTTAGGTAAGTATTAGGGGGGATGCTGCACACAGAAGGTTTTCTGCCTTCATGCATAGGATTCGCCTTTCACGGCCACAGCTGTCAATCACTGGGTCGGCCAGTAATTACCGAGCATCACCGACGGGGAGGAAGACTGTTTTGTTTACTAACAGTCTTCCTCCCTGTCGGCTCCGGCACACCGCTCTGGATGGCTATGCACAGATGGTGGTACCAGCACCCGATAGCCGATTGAAGAATTGGCTCGGGTGAGGACACCACTTGATGCCTGATCAGGAAAGTGTCCGAATATTAAAAGTCAGCCACTATAGTATTTGTAGTGGCTGACTTTTAAATTATTTTGGGGTTGGGGGACTCCTTTTTAACTTCCACTTTTTATTTCATAAACTGACCATTACTGAACTAATGTATGCTGTGTGGCAGCACAGTGGTTTGTGGTTAGCACTTCTGCTTTACGGTGCCAGGGTCCTCAGTTCAAAAATTCTAGTCAGGATGCTATCTGCATGGAGTTTGCATGTTCTCCCTGTTCTTGTGTGGGTTCACTACATTCTCCTATCACAGTCCAAAGTCATCACAGTAAGTTAATTGGATCCTATCTACACTGCCACCACGTGATACAGGAAACTGGTTGGCAGAGTTTGAGACACACTGTCACATACTGTGCTATATGTGTTATATGTACTTTGGGCCCTAGGCAAGCAATAGATCTTCAATAACGTGGTTGGGGTGGGGAGAGTCCCTCCCATCTACTCAGGTCTCAGATTACATTCAGCACTCTTCTCTGAGCTGTGTGTGAGGTCAGATCACACCCCTTGTCTCTGCAGGCTCAAAAAATCTGTGTCAGTTGTGAACTTAACCACTTCCCGCCCATAAAACATACCCGTATTTCCTTGTGTTGAAGTGTTTATTCCAGAGCCCAGGCTACATTATCAAGTTTTTTCTCTGCCAGCAATACTATTTCATGTGAAAGAAACCCTAGCGGCTAAACTGAACCGCGTCGTTTACATGCAGAGGAAATCTGGGGTCTAATAGTCTAAAGCAACTGATCAAAATGAGATCTGGGGTCTAACAGACCCCAGATGTCCCAATATAGAGAACCTGTCACTAGCTATGCTATCATAAGGGATGTTGTTCATTCCTTGTGACAGCAATAGAAGTGGTCAAAAAAAAAAAAAAAAAAAAAAGTCAGGAAAAAATAAAATATTTTAAACGAAAAAAAAAAATGTTATGCATTTGTGTAAAGTTGAATGCATACAAAGGTCATACACCCATATGTAAACTATAATCGCACCACATGCGAGATATCGCCACAGATGTTATAATGAGAGCAATAATTCTAGCGCCAGACCTACTGTGTAGCCCTAAACCGGTAACCTGTAAAGGCTTTTTAAAACATCGCCTATGGAGATTTTTAAGTACCGTAGTTTGTTACCATTCCACAGGTATACACAATTTTAAAGTGTAACAGGTTAGTTACCTATTTACTCAGCGTAATATCTTTTATATTTTAATAAACAATTGGATTTCTTTATGTTTTTGTGCATTAAAATTTATTAAAGTGTATTTTGTCCCCAAAAAAGTTGCTTTTCAAAAACCGCTGTGCAAATACAGAGTGACATAAAAAAAAGCAATACCCACGATTTTATTCTCTAAGGGCCTGTGCTTAAAAAATATATAATAAAAAATATATAAATAATTTTCAAGCCAAAAAAATGCTGGTTTTTACATGTAGGAGAAGAATGTTAGAATTGTAAAGTGGCTAATGTAATGCAAAGAGATGGCCCCGATAAACAGGTACAACTTATGCAGGAAGATTTGTTTTCTCTCTCGGTATCACCTGAAGCTAGTCATGTTAATGGATATATGTAAGGATTTAAAACCACTTTAACAAGAGTTCCCCAACACATTACATGAGCTAAAATGGACCACCCCATGTCTATGGCCAGAGTTACTGACTGGCAGTATGTAATCATCAGCAAAAATATTTTAAACAAGTCCAGATGCATTGTGGAACATCACCCATCAGTGTACACAAGAAGAAAAAGTGAAGAAATCCTTCTGAGCGTTTCCACTGTACATTATTAGTATGCAAATCATTTTAGTGGTGAATTTCCGGCATTCATTTGAATATACAATATATAGCCAAAAGTATTGGGACATATGCCTTTACACGCACATGGAATTTAATGGCATCCCAGTCTTAGTCCGTAGGGTTTAATTTTGACTTGGCCCACCCTTTGCAGGGTCGCCATACTAACTAAGCATCTTTAGTGTGCCAATCTCCCCCAGTGAGCTATTGTGTTCTGACAGGGGGACTGCCCCTCTGCCAGAACACAATGATCAGCACACACAGCCATTGGCTGCCAGCGCTGATCAGATGCTGGTTTTCCAGCATGTTCATTCAATAAAAGCCAGTCGTTAGACCAGCGCCTGTCGAACAGGCTGCTGTACACACGGGCTGAATGTCGGCCGCTTTCTGTTGAGCCAGCTGATACCAGCCAATATATGGCCCCTGTGTACCAGCCTTAAGTGACTGAAGGTACAAGTAGCTTGTATCAAGCTACCAGACTATAACAAGAGAGTCTGTCATACATAATATTACAGTCCTGTCTGAATTCTGCAAAACAGCGTTTTATGTCTTTTATGATTTTTTATCTTTAGATGAAATTTTTAATCCGAGTCTGATGATATGTAAAAGATTCAAACTCTAATAGTATATACATCTCTTCTGTTATTCTCAGGGTGGGTTAGATATTTTGTTCCCCAACCACAACCATATAGCTAGTTATTTACATTTACCACTGCATATAGATGTAGAAGAATAAATTGTCTTTTTTTTTTTTACTTTACATATTAACTAAATTATACACCAAACTTTTTTTTTTTAGGTTTTTATCTGATTAATTGAAACAATAATCGGCCAACCAATCAATTCTGAAAATAATTGTTGGTTGCAGCCCTACTATGGCCATCCTAAGTGACGGCAGGCGCAGGTAGCTTGTATCAAGCTACCTGCTTATGACAAGGAAGTCTGCCATACAAAATACTATATTACAATCCTGTCTGAAAACGGCAAAACAGTGTTTTAGCTCTTTTTACATTTTTTTATCTTTAAATAAAATGTTTGATGTCTGATGACATGTATTAGATTCAACCTGTAAGAGTATATACATCTTTTCTGTCTGTTCTTGTCAGAGTGGATTAGATATCTTGCTTCCTAACCATATTGTTGGCTATTTAAATTTACTACTGCATATAGATAGTCAAGAATATTGTCTTTTTTTTAAACTTTACATATTAACTAAATGATACACCAAACGTTAAGGTTTATATCCGAATAATTGAAACAGTAATTGGCCACCTAATCGATTATCAAAATAATCGTTAGTTGCAGTCCTACATTGTACATGGCGGTTGGACTGGAAGTCATCTTTAGGCCTCATGCACACAGGACTTTTTTTTTTTTTTTTAACTCTCCTAGAAGACAGCAGCGTTTCAGCAGGAAAAAAATGACTGATGCTTGTAAAAGTGTCTAATGCTTTTACAAGTGTTTAGGCATGTTTATAGGCGTCAATTGCTTGGGCGTTAATTCATTTCACTGATGAGAATAAACATTTTATTCTGGCCACTGAAATTAATTAATGCTCAAGCGCTAAAGGTAGAATTCAGGCACATATAAAAGGCTACTGCTCCAGGATGCCCTAGCAGTGTTTTTTTTTTTTCCTAGCACAAAACACTGCAAAAAGTCTATGTGTGCATGAGCACATAGGATAACATGAAGGGCAGTTTAGAGGAAAATGCAAGGAAATGGAAGGAAGGATTTTTTGGTGGCAAAAGATTCTATTATGACATTAGTACATACCTGATATTATACAGAGGTTGAGTTTGATGGACCACAACATTACACTTTGGACACCTGTTGCTGTAGTAAAAATGCTTTACTATGCAGCTTTTGCAAACTGAAAAAAATAAAATAAAAATACAGTGAACATCGTTCTCACATATGTGTACAATAAAGAAAACTACATTTGTGTTTTTATTTAAAAATAAAATGAATCCTTCCTGCTCCTACTGGGAGCTGTGAATCAATACACCAGGACTCAGTAGGGGGCGTGACCAGCTATACTGACTACAGGAGAACTAGGCATGGCATTTTATGGAAACCCAGCAATGCACTCTGACCACGCTAGCATGGATCCGCTTCTGTGATTAGCATGGTCAGATTGCAAAAAAAACACGAGGACTGTCAGGATCACCAGGTAAACAAAGCAAATGGAGAAATAAAAACCAGAACATGGCACATTTCCAAACAGCTTTAGGTCCTGTTCTCATGCCCATTATGTATATATATATATTTCATCCATCCTTTTGCATTCCTATGGGCAAAAGGATGACCATCCGTTTACATCTGCATCCGTCCACATCTGTTTTTTTTTTTTTTTTTTTTAAAGGATCAGAGCCCTAGAAAGGAGAATAAATGGATGTAAACAGACAAACGGTCCGTTTTTTTGGCATTGGTTGTTGGGAGCCGGCATCCATTTGAAACAAGCAGTGTATGTTAGCTCTGGACTTGTGCATTGCTCTATGCACACTGCACATTTCATAGTCCCTAATGAGCAAGAGAAGGTGGTTACATTCCAACATACACAGTGTGACCAAGGAGAACGAAATTAGAGGGAAAAAAAAAAAAAAATTCGAAGAAGATTTGGAGGAGGTCATGTTAAAGATGTATTTAAAGGATAAGTTCACCTTTAAGACAAAAATAATAAATGCACTTTTTTTGCAGGTGAAAAAAATGTGCATTGATTATTTTTGTCTACAGGAGCCTGGAAAGCATTGCACCAGCGATCAGGAGATTACTAATGCAATGCAGGTCTCCTGCAGACCTGTCAGAATATCTGTTTGCCATACGGGATATACGTTCAAGCAGATATTCTGACAGGAAACGTCAATGAACTACCACGGTGCTCCACAGTGCCGTGGTAGTTCATTGAAAACTACAAGCCGAAAGCCGCTAGGGCTGTCAGGACTTGCAGTTCATTTCTTCACGGACTTCCGTGGGCGGAGTCCCAGACGGCCACACTGTTTTCAAATTTGACAGTTAGTACGGGGAGACGTCTCCCCGTACTGTCAGAGGGAGGCAGCGGCTGCGGCTATGGGAACATGTTACTAAAAACGGGTGGAACATGTAACATGTTCCCAAAGGTGAACCTATCCTTTAACCCGAAAACAAATGTTATATCGTGTAGCTTACCAATCCCCAAATGTACTGGCTGCAGGGACCGGACGAATTTCAATCCATGTATGGGCAGGCTTATTGTAAACAAGGTAATCTATCGATCGAATTCTGTACAACTAGCCTGTTGGAAAAATTTCTCTTGATCAGTGCTGGCAATGTTGATCAGTTTATTCTGACAGTGGTGAAGTGTCCCCACTGTTAAGATTACAAAAGCTCAGAGGGAGGGATTCCCTCATCCACATCGAGTGTATGGATGGGGAAATCGCGCTCTCTTTCATCCAACCTGCTGGTTAAACAAAAAAAAAAAAAAACTCATGTATGGCCAGCCTTAGACTAGCAGATTTATGGATTTGGCTAAAAAAAATGAATGCTGCACTCCAGATAACGCTTGACACTGTCTACAGTTCTGTGCCCATACCTTTGCACAGGATGTAAGAAGCGTCGATGTACTATGAGCACACTGATCAGCATGCTTGCAGTCCATTGAAATTACAAGTTTGTCTGCTGTGGTGGCAGACCAGATTTACTGTGAATGAATAAACTGATCACTGTGAATGAATGATACAGCTATGTGGGTGGAGCCCCACACAGTTGTGTCAATTATAAATGTGAGGAGAGCTGTGCTGGGAACATCTTACGATCTAAATATGGTGTTCCAAACACTGAACCGATCCTTTAAACCTTAAAGCAGAACCAAAAGTTACTGAAAGTAGGCAAGCTTTTTATTGCAGAAGAAACATTCATTCCTCACTTTAGTTTCACTTTAATGAACTATTTCTCTCGATTACTTGCATGCATGTACTCACACGTATGAAGACATTCTGTTATGGTTGTTGCATCGACGAAGTAACCTTTGCAGATTGAGCAGAGAATGTAAGGATTCAGGTCAGCCAGATTAACCAGACACTGGAAAGTGAAAGACAAAATAAAAGATACCCGTTTCAATTTATACATAGACACTTGTATGTACTTGTGTATACATGCTTTCATTACGCATCCTAGCAATTTGAAATCACCATGATTCTGCCCGTGATTCCAAATCACATCAAAGTCATGGTAAAATGTGTGATGTGCGTTTGGTCACGAATCATTCTAAATGTCACCCCAGATATGGTGAGATTTTGCTGTGACTGTCATACAGAAATCGCGGCAAATGCACGTGTAAAAAACATGTGCAGCTCATAACCTAAAAAGAAGCAGGAGCTGCCTTTTGACAACAAATGTGAACAGGGCAGCCCACTGATGTAAATGGACTGCCCTACATGCAACATGTGGAAATGCGTGTAAATAGTGCTTAATAAATTGTGAGCAGGAACACTCATTCTCACTATGTGAATCTGAATGGGGCCTTAGGTCTAAGGTGACACTTTGATTAACCACTTGCCTACCGGGCACTTTGTGCCCAGAACAATTTTCAGCTTTGCATGACAATTGTGCAGTCATGCAACACTGTGCCCATATGAAATTTTTATATTTTTTTTCACACAAATAGAGCTTTCCTTTGGTGGTATTTAACCGCCGCTGGGCGTTTTTTTTTTGCGCTATAAAAAAAAAAAAAAGAAAAAATGTGATTAAAAAAAGTTTTTCTTTGTTTCTATTATAAAATTTTGCAAACAGGTAATTTTTCTCCTTCACTGAATTGCGTTGATGAGGCTGAACTGATCAGCAGCTATGATGGGCGCAACTGCTGGGCACTGATGGGTGAAACCGCTGGGTGGCAATGCTGGGCACTGATCATCAGGGCCCCGATGATCGGTGCAGATGTTCTCTGTGTCATTTGCTGGTTATCGGCAGTACTTTCCTCACGCTGTGACAGCGTGAGGAAAGTGCTGCCGATAACCGGCAACTGTATTTACTTTGTGATCAGCTGTGTCATTGGACACAGCTGATCACGTGGTAAAAGGCCGCTGTGATTGGTCTATTACCTCATCATGAGAGCAGCTGTGTCCGTAGGACACAGGGATTACGGACAGGGCCGGGTGCGCGCCACTTGGGGCATGCGTTTTGGGAGGACGTCATATGATGCCCTCCCAGAACTGGATAACCGCGCTGTTGCCGTCATTTGGCTATAGCACAGTTGGAAAGTGGTTAAAATAGCACAGCTGAGAAACCGTATCAAAGCTCTGCTGCCACCCATGGCCACGGCTCTCGCATAGTTTAACCCCTTGACACCGACGTAACACAAATATGCGGCCTCACAGAACTGAGCTTTTTTCTGTGGGGCCGCATATTTGCGTACCTGTCTTTGTGCTGGCCAGCACAAAGACCACGGTGTCAGTTCCCATTCTAATGATCGCAACCTGGGACTCCCGATTCCGGGTCACATTGCTGTGATAGCCTCTGATTGGCCAACATAGTGATCAGTCACTGTACAGCCCGGCCACCCTTGTGTTTTTTTTTTTCTGTGAACGGAGGAGAGAGATACATTGTATCTCTAACTCCTGGCATAGAGGGAAAAAAAGTTTGTAAAAAAGTAAATATAAATAAATATTAAAAAAGAAAAGAAAAAATGCCTAGATTAAGGTTTGATCTAGTTCAGTGCCAGGGTTAGGGTTTGGGTCAAGGTCAGGATTTTAAAACAAAATTTGATGTCAGTTAGGGCTCGTTCACACTAGGCTGTTTTGCCAACGCTTGCCAAATGCCCCTATAGCGTTTGGCAAGCGTTGGTCCGGCGTTTGCGGAGCGTTTTTTAACGCTCTGCAAACGCTCCTCAAACGCTGCATGCGCGGTTTAGCGGCGGTTGCTAGGCGTTTGCCGAGCGTTAATAACGCCCCACAAACGCCTATAATGCAGTTTGAGTGGCGTTACCGCTCCGCAAATGCCCCGCAACCGCACCGCAAACGCCGGCCGGGCGTTTGCGGAGCGGCACCATAGACGAGAATAGGAGGCTTCAAAGCCTCCTGACTCGACCAGAGGCGTCCGTTTTGCCGCGACGCAAACGCTCCCGTTAGAACAGCACCATGTGCTGTAATGTGCAGAATTGGCAGAGGCGTTTGGGAAGCGGTAAAAACGCTTCCCAAACGCCTCTCTGCTGCCTGCACACAAGGCTAGTGTGAACGTAGCCTTAGTGTCAGTGTGTTTTAGGTAAAAAAAAAAAAAAGACAAACAAAATGCGCACTATTGTTTCTGGGCTGTACTACGGGTACAAAAAACAAATAACACACACATATATGGTATTGCTGCAATCGTCAAGAGCTGGATAATTTATTTTGGGTTGTTCTTTGGTGGTAGGTTATGGTAGTAATAAGAAACACACAGCTAAATAAAAACAAATGATTTTTTTTTTTTTTACTATTTTGGGCCAGTTTTCTTTTAATAAAAAAAAAAAAAAAAAAAACAGAAGATATCCATTACCATTTACCACCAAATGAAAGCCCAATTTGTCCTGAAATAAACAAGGTATAATTCACCTGGATGTACAAAAGTAGTTGTGGTGATATGTACGGTTTTACTAACACATGTCAACGTTGCAAAATTGTGCTTAGGCATTTAGATTTGTTTACCCTTAGGTGTGAAGGGGTTAATGGTGACCTGACAACCCTGTACACAGAGGAGCAGTTTTGTTGTTTGGTGGTACATTGTAGCAAAAATCATATCCCCGTTTATAATGGCGGGCAATACCACTGCCCAATGCGACTACCTATTCATGTAAATGTGGCTGTGCAATTACCACGAGAAAAATGTTAGGTACGTGGCATGGTATTCCCATTTATTCCCATTATCCCCTTTCCCAAAAAAGAAGGCGTTGAGAGGTAGCAGTTACCTCCTGAACCCCTGTCGCCCGCTCCTGTATTGCTGTCTGAAAAGTGTTCCAATGCAAATCCTTCAAAGAGACACAAGAAAAGAGTTATTAGGACTCATTCACACCATGGTGCAGAGACGTCAGTTTTCCTGCACACGTTCTGCAAGGGCACAGAAAAATCAATTGTTCTCTATGTACCCTGTTCACTTCACAACACTAATATCACATGCAGATTTTTTTTCTGCACAGGAATCTGCAACGTGTATAAAACTCATTGATGCACGTTTTAAAACTGATGTAAACTGATGTCTCTGCAAGTGAAATCTGCGCGTCAGTTTCCATCAGTTTTTCTGCACATATGGTGTGAACAAGGACTAAAGGACCCGATGTTCAGCACACAGGGCACACAGCTACAGACGCACATTTTCTTTCACCGGTGTACAAAGGGCCAAACAAACTATATGAATCTCACTAAAAAGAGAATATCTTCACACTGTAGCACTAAAGGATTCCAGAGCACATGAACAGATTGCCACAAATCATAACTTTCACTGCACAGCCTGGATTGGATAATTAAGTTGATGTGCACAAGCCGACAGGGAGAACTGTTTTGTTTACAAACAGTTCTACCTGGAGATCCTCGGATTCACTGGGGGTCAGCGAGTAATCGCCCCCACCCCGAAGTGGGTTTCCTCCGGGTACTCCGGTTTCCTTCCACACGCCAAAAGACTTGCTGGTAGGTTAATTGGCTCCTGTCTATATTGCCCTAGTAAGTGTATGTATGAATGTAAGTTAGGGACCTCAGATTGTACACCCCTTGAGAGTTGAAGACTGATGTGAATGTACAATATATGTGAAGTGATGGCGCTATATAAGTAGATTGGGGAATCACGCAAGATGATTATAATTACTATTGCTAGCAACACCATATCCATCCAATTGGGTCACATATTTTACTATATATTTTTTGTCATTTAAAATTTCCATTTCCAGAGCTCTGGAGGTTGATGCTTGAGAGTTTGTATGTCTATTCTCTGACCCCTCCCCCAAGTGGGAGGGATGAATGATAGGTTCTCTCTATATAAGAGAAGATGAGGCGCACAGACCAGTTTTTGCTCCAAAGAAGGAGCCAAGTCCCCCCAAAACACGTTAGCTGGTAGTATGACAGTCATTGAACCAGAAAGGTTCCACCATGTGTAAGAGCCTTCTCTTCCTGGGGTCATGAACAATGCAGCTACAACTGTCTGGATATGCTGTTTATCCCTCAATCATGTATTGTTGATGATGCACTAGGACTAGGTGTTTACAATACGAATGGAAGCAGCATTGAAGGGTTAGACCCCCGGCAGGTTTTTCTTGTCCTCCGTGTCCCCATTCAGGAGATTCTCCATCTCTTTTTGTACCGTGACCACTGTCAGCAGAAAGGAATGGGAGGAGGAAACCCAACATGGGGAAATCTTCCAGAGGGGACACATGTTCTCCCCTTGTCCTGGGAGATTTCCTCTAACTTCCTGTTGTGTCCCTGGGACAGAAAGTGAAAGGAAAAATTTCCCAATGAACAAAAAAAAAAAAAAAAAAAAAAAAAAAGAAAAGGGTTTTAACCCTCCCCGACTACAAAAAACGACACACACCATACAACGACAATGCTTTACTAAACTGGAAATCTGTACGATTTGTGTTCATCCTCCTGTATTTGTACACATCTACTGACCAATCCTAGAAGAGGTATGGATGAGGAGGAGAGATGTCCCTTTATGAGCCTTTCACATTGGCTGCTGTAGGTTTTAAAAATCAGGGTGCACACTCCATGTGACAGGCACAGACCCCATGCATTCAGTACATACTCCATGTGACAGGTGCAGACCTCACTAGTTCAGTACACCCTCCATGCGACCACTGCAGACTCCATGTGTTCAGAGCACACTCCATGTGACATGCGCAGACCCCATGCATTCAGTACACACTCCATGTGACAGGCGCAGACCTCACTAGTTCAGTACACCCTCCATGCGACCACTGCAGACTCCATGTGTTCAGAGCACACTCCATGTGACATGCGCAGACCCCATGCATTCAGTACACAATCCATGTGACAGGCGCAGACCTCACTAGTTCAGTACACCCTCCATGCGACCACTGCAGACTCCATGCGTTCAGAGCACATTCCAAGTGACAGGCATAGACCCCATGCATTCAGTACACACTCCATGTGACAGGCGCAGACCTCACTAGTTCAGTACACACTCCATGCGACCACTGCAGACTCCATGTGACAGGCGCAGACCTCACTAGTTCAGTACACACTCCATGCGACCGGAGTAGCACAAGGTACAGCCCAGACAGGTGTCCCCCCGCCTCACCTCACTCCCAGCCATATAACGCTCCCCTCTCTTCTGTGTGCACTGCAGACCCGGGGCTGTCACCGGTTCTTCCTCCTCCTCACACTTCACCAAGTTACCGAACTCCATCCCGCCGCCGGCCACTGACACACGGAGCGGGACTTTCTTTTCGGCACAGCACCACGCATGCGCCACTCTGAGCCAGCCGGGAAGTGCAGTCTACATAGTGGAGGAGTCGGAGCTCAGTACTGGGGTTCCCGGCATGCCTTACGCTTCACCTGCTCCGGGGGGATGCCGGGAAGTGTAGTCCTGAAGAGGAACATAGAGGGCTCATGAAGCCTGGCTTCTCTCACTAACAGAGTGGACCTGCAAGCACGGGTCCTGTGTAGTTGTACACCAGATTTCACCTCCAAGCCTCTACATATTCACACTTGTCGTTTTCTTTCTCTTTTTTATACATCTCATCAATTTAAAGTAGACAAGATTTCTCTTTTCTTCCTACCCCATAGTGCAAACAGGAAGTGAGAGGAAATGCCTCCAGTGAGGGAATCCCGGAGTGTCAGCAGAACTAGTGTTCCACTGGAAGATTTCCCCATTATTCCTGTTCTCATAACTCAAAATGTAACATTTTCTTTCACACTTCTGGTTATCCACTTGACCTCCAGAAGATTTACCCCCCTTCCGGACCAAGCTGTTTTATTTGCAATACAGCACTGTTGCGCAGTCAGGAAACGCTCTACACAAACAAAATTTATATCATTTTTTCCCCACAAATAGAGATTTCTTTTGGTGGTATTTGATCACCATTGTTTTTTTTTTGCGCTATAAGCAAAAAAAGACCAAACATTTTGAAAAACAAACAAAAATTTTTATTTTCTGGCATAAAACATATCCAATTAAAAAAAAATCAAATTTTTTTTTAAATTTAGGCCAATATGTATTCTGCTCAGGGGCGGGCTGACCATTTGGAAACTTGGGCACTGCCCGAGGGCCCAGGGTCAGTGAGATGCCCCTGGTACCTTTTTCATAGGCCTTTTTGAGTTTGGGCAAGGACATGGGCCTCATGATCCCCTATTGCCCGGGGGCCCCATGAGTTGTCAGTCCACCCGATTCTGCTACATATTTTTGGCAGAAAAATAAAATCCCAATAAGTGTATATTAATTTGTTTACCTGAATGTTATAGCGTGTACACACTATACAGTACAGTATAACTAATACAGTGAAGGAAATAAGTATTTGATCTCCTGCTGATTTTGAATGTTTGCCCACTCACAAAGAAATGATCAGTCTAAAAATTGAAGGGTAGGTATATTGTAACACTGAGAGACAGAATAGTAACAAAGCGTTCAAAAGAAATGCATGTCTAACAAATTAACTTGTTGCCGACCGCAGATAGCCAAATGACGGCTGCACTGCGGCTGGCCAGTTCTGGGTGGACGTCATATGACGTCATATGACGTCCACCCAGAACGCGCTCTCCGTGATCGCTGTGTCCTACGGACACAGCTGATCACGTGATGTGGTAAAAGGCCAATCACAGCGGCCTTTTACCACCTGATCAGCGGTTTCCAATGACACGCTGATCAGAGGGAAATGCAAGTGCCGGTTCTCGGCTGCACTTTCCTCACGCTGTCAGATCGTGAGGAGAGTACTGCCGAGAACCGGCAGTTGTCAGAGCGGGGATCGGCACCGATCATCAGGGCACTGATGATCAGTGCCCTGATGATCGGTGCCCAGCAGTGCCACCCGCAAGTTCCGCCCACCTGTGCCCAGCAGTGCGCCCACTAGCTCCGCCCACCTGTACCCAGCAGATCACCCACATGTGCCACTCTGCAATGTCACACACCTGTGCCCAGAAGTGCCACCTACCTGTGCCCAGCAGTGCCACCCACCTGTGCCCACCCACCTGTGCCCACCAGTGCCACCCACCTGTGCCCACCCACCAGTGCTGCCCACCAGTGCCACCCACCAGTGCAGCCCAGCAGTGCTGCCAGTCAGTGCCACCAGTCAGTGCCCAGCGGTTGTGCCAGTCAGTGCCGCCAGTCAGTGCCCAGCAGTGATGCCAGTCAGTGCCGTCTATCAGTACCCATCATCAGTGTCACCTATCAGTGCTGCATATTAGTGCCGCCTATCCGTGACACCTCATTAGTGCTGTCTATCAGTGCCGCCTATCCGTGCCACCTCATTAGTACTGCCTATCAGTGCCCTTTAGTGCTGCCTATCAGTGCCCATCAGTGCCGCCTATCAGTGCCCATCAGTGCTGCCTCATCAACACACATCAGTGAAGGAGAAAAATTACCTGTTTAAAAAATTTTATAATAGAAACAAAGAAACTTTTTTTTTTTTTAAATTTTTGGCAATTTTTTATTTATAGCGCAAAAAGTAAAGTGCCCAGTGGTGATTAAATACCACCAAAAGAAAGCTCTATTTGTGAGAAAAAAATGATCAAAATTTCATATGGGTACAATGTTGCATGACCGCGCAATTGTCAATCAAAGTGCGGCAGCGCTGAAAGCTGAAAATTGGCCTGGTAAATAAGGGGGTATAAGTGCCTGGTAGGCAAGTGGTTAAGCACTGATTTGCATATTCGTGAGGGAAATAAGTATTTGATCCCCTATCATTCTGGCTACCAGGTGTCTTTCATACAGGTAACAAGCTGAGATTAGAAGCAGTCACTTAACCTCCCTAGCGGTATGATTATTTCAGATTTTTGGTGCTGAAAGCGGTACCATTATTTTGCATGGAAATATGTAGTTTTTTTATTGTAGGCTGTAATTTTTAGGAATAACTCACTGAAATCTGTCTGAACAAGAGTCTATTAAACATCCCGGGTATGATAAAATTTGAAACACGAAATCATAAATTATAATTTAATAAATAATCATAAAAAATAATAATATAATAATAATACATTTAATTCAATAATATAATCAAACCAAAAACACTGAAATTTGAAATAGAGCGCCAAGTTCGCACATTGCTGAGCAAAGTCGCAAAATCGTTTTCAGTGTCTGATGACGAATTTCCCCACGAATCATTATCACTCAATTCTGCAAGTGGTTCTGATTTATTATCGCTGTTGTCTAGCTGATCTAAACCCACTTTTGACCTAAAGGGACACTTTTTGGACGCCATGGACTTTTCTCAGTTTCCAGGCAGAAAGAACAGACAAAATGCAGGCAGGGCACAGGACAAAGCAGTAGGGACAAAATGTATGTGAAATGCGTTTGAAACAGCAATGTTTTACTATGTAAAATTTGTTTGGAAAAAAAATGACATTTTTAAAAATTTTCAAATTTCCTGCAACCGGCGGCGCCCATACATCCCGACGTCACAGGGACCAGAACACAGAAGCCGGATGCCGGCATCGGCCGGAGGAAATGGCCGGGGACGCTGCAGGGGACACATCCTGGGAGCGAAGGACAAGGTAAGCTCTGCAGGGAATCCCTATGCAGCGCCGCATGGTAAGCCCGAGTGTAGCTCGGAGTTACCGCTTTTGGTACAGACATTTTACCCCGAGCTACACTCGGGAATACTGCTAAGGAGGTTAAAGGGAGTGCTGCTAATCTAATTTTGTTACCTGTATAAAAGACACCTGTCCATAGGAGCAATCAATCAGATTCCAAACTCTCCACCATGGCAAAGACCAAAAAGCTGTCCAAAGATGTCAGGACAAGATTGTAGACCTACACAAGGCTGGACTGGGCTACAAAACTATCGCCAAACTGCTAAACACCTTGTCCATCACTGAGAATTTGCAAGTCTAAACTGGCATTCTAGCTGTGGTGCAAACCTGTATACTATTTCCATCATCATGGTCCAAAAAAATACACAAATTGTATGCATAATGCTAAATGCCTACTGAACCTCTCAGAAATTGAAGCCTGTCTACACATGCTTGCTAGTTGTGGTACTAAAATGTATGCTATTTCCATCGTCACTGTCCAAAATAAGAAATTAGCTTGCTAGCTGTGGTGCAAAAATTTATGCCATTTACATTCTTAGTGTCCATAAAGCTATACTGCTTCATGTAAACTGCCTGCTCTCTCCCTCTGAAACTGTGGAATATAAAAAAAAAGGCTTTAAGAAGTTTGCATCAAATGCTTACAAAGGTTTAGGTATATAGTCTGAGATAAAAAAATTATTTATCCCAGATCAGGTCTGCCAGATCTCCATCGACTATTTTTACCTCCTCCCAGCCACAAGTGTGAAAGAACCCTTACTGTAAAGCTCTTTGCTTTCTTTTATAGTAACATCTGTCATTTTCTTTAACTTACATTTAAAAATGAACTTTCTATCTCTTTGTTATAACTGTATTGTACTGAAGATTGTGTTCCAAAGAAAATATACATAGGTTAGTGGTTGACCCTCAGAGGGCCAACTATGTTCATAATAGTTGAAATAGTGGAAAAATTAATCTTACCAAAAAAAACACACTAAAAAATAAAAGAGAGGCATGACTATCCACACAGAAGGAAGCACCCCTAATCATTAAGAACCAACATTTCTTCTTTCTTACACATGCAATGCCCTGTCATAACTCTATTATCCTGCAGATAGTGTTCAGAGGGGCCTATCATACAGTAGATTACTGAATGATATGAGAGTGTCAAGCAAACATATTACAAAACATGTCAAGAAATAATATTTATTTTTTCTAGTCTCTCTTCACATTGTCATGTTTCTGTGATGTTTGAGAGGCAGACAAAAAAACAGGAACAGTGAAGGGACTAGTTTATTTTTTATTAAAACTTTATTATTCGGCAAGAATATATAACATGACATCACTGCATTAGAAAAGTCAGCTATACAGGTCTGTACAATAAGAGCTCATGTACATGGGACATTTGGAAAACTCTTCTGATTGATGAGAATTGACTGCTGGAAAACATAGGTTAAAAATCATCTGTTTAGCCACATTTGCATACCGCGTTTATGCTCATTTGTGTTTAAAAGCGTTTTTTTTTTTAAGATAACCTCAGGAAACGTTCCAAAATGCCCAGAATGCACTGAAAAACAGTAACAAATTAACTTTTTGAGAGAAATAGAGAGAGCAGAAGAAGAGAGCAGTATGTGTTAAGATGACCTGTCTTTCCTGGTTGTATTCACAATGGAACCCTAAAGAATATGACCTACAGATATTCCACACCTTACAGAGACAGCCATGTTTTAGGTCTCATGCACACTGGATGTTTTAAAAAACGCCAGTAGCATTAGCTGTAGAATGCTGCGTTATAAATGCGAGTTTTGTCACTTTTTTTTAGCATTTTTGTTTTTTAGCGTCTTTCAGCATTTTCTAGCAAAACTATACTCCCACAAATGCTTGAGGCTCAGAAATGATCATACATGCTGGATAGCTACATATTTCAGTGTTTTACAGCATTAGAGCATTTTTATAGCTGAAAAACTCCTCTTCAAATGTAGTTCTGGGGTTTTTTTCCAGCTGGAAAATGTTCCTGCAAAAAAAATGCTGATAAAAGCCTATGTGTGCATGGACACATCGGATAACATGCTGGGTAGATTACTGGCTGTAGGAAAAAAACACCTGATGCCCAAAACAACAGCTGTAATAATGCCCAGTGTGCATGAAGCCTAAGCCTTTTTTGGCAGAAGTAGTAGGGGTTTCCTTTTTTGGAGCATTTTTTATGCTTCAAAGCTCTGAAAATTATTAATAAACACAAGGCAAGAGTTGCCTTGGTCTTTTTGTTTTGTATAGTTAAAGCGGAGTTCCACCCAAAGGTAAAAGCTCCGTTTGCTTGCCCCCCCCCCCCCTCCACTGCCATATTTGGCACCGTTTGAAAGGGAGTGGGTACCTGGTTTTATCAGCGTTTGTTGGCAGGGGCATTTTAGGTCTGCAACATCCCCCCCAGAACTACTGCATTTGAAGAGGGGTTTTTCAGCTGTAAAAATGCTCTAATACTGAAAAAAGCACACTAAGGTTTCTGGATTCTATGAAATTTTCAGTTGCTACATATCCATAAAGGCCAATCCACAATGCCCCACTGCCTTTTACCTGGGCCTGTTGGGAATTTAATCTAGGGAATAAAGATACATGTTCCTCTCTTGTCCATTTTCTAAGATGTTGCTTGTTGCTTTGTCCTCCAACTGAAAACCTCTCTAAATGTTTAAAAGAATTAGGCAAAAGGAGTGTAAAACTAAAGCATAAGGCTTGGTCAGGTCTTTTTGTGTCAGTCCTCAGGCACCATCCTGCTTGATAATAAATCATAACTCTGGCCCAGTCTTCCAGTTGTACCATTTTAAATACAAAACACCAGTAGTGAATAGAGTATTTGATATTGGGGGAGTCAAATGGCCATTAGATTGTGTTAGCATTATTCTAGAGCTAGACAAGGTTCAATTTAGATCCACCAAAAAAATAAGAAACATTTTCTGGCAGTCTTCTTTATTCACAAATCCAAGGGCAGAAAAAAGGTGGTAACTGGCAACAGGGGCCGTATATTAGGTTTAACCTCCCTAGCAGTCTGATTATGTCAATATTTCTGTGCTCAAAGCGGTACATTTTTTTGCTTGGAAATATGTTTGTTTTTTATTGTAGGCCTGTAATTCTTAGGAATAACTCTGAAATCTGTCCGAACAAGAGTCTAGTAAACATCCCGGGTATGATAAAATTTGAAACACGAAATCATAAATTATAATATAATAAATAATCATAAAAAAATAATAATATAATAATAAATTGATTTCAATAATATAATCAAACCAAAAAACACTGACATTTTAAATATAGCGCCAAGTTCGCACATCACTGAGCAAAGGCGCAAAATCGTTTTCAGTGTCTGATGACGACTTTCCCCACAAATCATTATCACTTAATTCTGCAAGTGGTTCTGATTTACTATCGCTGTTCTCTAGCTGGTCTGAAACCGCTTTTGACCTAAAGGTACACTTTTTGGACGCCATGGACGTTTCTCAGTTTCAAGGCAGAAAGAACAGTAAAAGTGCAGGCAGGGCACAGGACAAAGCACTCGGGAAAATGTATGTGAAATGGTTTGATACAGTAATGTAATACTATCAGATTTTAGTGTATTCAGCGAATGTCAAATTTTAACATTTTTGAATTTCCCACTGGTTCTGTCCCCCGTATGTCCCAACACTCGCAGTGAACGGAACCTGGAAGACGGATGCCGGCATCGGCCGGAGGAGATGGCTGGGGACGCTGCAGGGGGGACATCGGTGAAGCGAAGGACACGGTAAGTGCTGGAGGGAATCCCTGAGCAACGCTGTAGGGTAATCCCGAGTGTAGCTTGGGGTTACTGCTTCTGGTACTGAAAGTTAACCCCGAGCTACACTCGGGAATACTGCCAGGGGGGTTAATAACTGAAATTCCCCAATAGTGTGAGGTCTCTCAGTATCCATAGGTTAATTGTTAGCAGACTGATTCTGTCACAACAGGGACACTGATTCCCTGGATGCCAGCATCCTGACCCAAGCTACATAGGCTACTATTACTCCAGGTAATCAACATTACTGATGTTGCAAAGAAATTTTTTACAAGTTTGTGTCTGAGCTAAAAAGAGGAGATCATTCACATTCCACGGTTTTAACTCCTTCCTGGAACAAATACACCTCTGAAAAGTTTGAATACCCATTTTACTGAAAAAAATATGAAATACTCTTATAAAGGCTTTCATGAGATCAATAGTTTGAAAGATTTATTTACTTGGGTGTATTAGATCAAGTATCACCCCCACATCACAGCCCCTGCACATGCTTGGTTCACTATCTCCTCTGTTGCAGCATTGTTGAACTCAGAGCGACTGTGATGGAGGAGAGAAAGCTCATGTGCGAGGGATTATCCCAGAAAAAGAGCTTGCTTCTGTGATTGTGCGGGTGACAGTGACAACTAGGACTGACTTTGTAATGTTCTAACATCTTCTAACATCTTATCCACAGGTGCTCCCTACCTGCATAAACTTTTTTTGGTAAACATAAACTAACCTTTTTTAAAGGCTGGGACCAAATATCGGGGAACCTCTCTCAAAGCACTGACACCCAAAGCTAAAGTACTCTTCCGCTCTTTGTGTCCAGGAGGGATTGCTGGCAAGAGGTGACTTATGTGCTGCATACCTGCATCCCTTCCAGGTGAAGTGTTTTTAGGGGTCCTTTGAAACACATTAAAAAAATGTTTCTAATTCTATTAGCTCTTACCAGGCAGGTTATAGTGGTGATTAACTGCCCCTCACACTGGCATAAGAAGAAAGGTGGAGCAGCTCCCTTGTACTCACCTGTCAACCACCAGTTGAGAAATAAGGGGGAAAACAACACGGCACTTCACTATGACTGCCTTCATTTGGAAGTAAATATAAGCAACTACATTATTACATAAACCTAAACAAGTAACTCTGTCATCTCCAATTCCAGTTATACTTAGTTTTACGGAGCTCCGCTGCTGCTCTTTCCTCTATCACCACTGCTGCAAAATAACAATGTTAGAGCTGATCATATTTACCCATAAGGTCCAAACACTGAATGGTCGAATGTGATCACCGGCTGCCCCATATCCAAATACACCAGGTATTTTGCAGTGGATGCTTTAGAAGGAGGAGCATTGTGAGACACCATAGAGGCGAGTATAACCAGGTTGGGGGTGAGATTTATAGAGACCCTGTCACTTTGCTCTAAATGGTCAAGGTGACAAGGTCACTTTAATTCATTTTCCTATTGACACACAGGATAATAAGACTGTGTGAATGGGCCCAATATTTTGCCTTGATTGTTTTTACCTTTTAATACAATTATAGAATTTTTAATTTGTTATGAAATGACATAACGTGTCTTTGGTGGATCAGCCTTTACCATCAAGCAAGGCCAGATTAACAAAAGAACAAGTCTGCATTTGTACAAGGAACATTCCCTTCTAACATACTTTGGACAACAAGTTCTATCATCATCGATAAACGCAGAGTTTTATCTTTGCCATAACTTTAAAGATAACATAATTACATATTTGAGATTTCCAGTTCTATTTTGGTCTTAGATAGAAAATGCTAATTTGCATTTCTTTTGCATTTTTATGTGACTTTAAAATGGACTTAAATCAAAACTAAACTCTCTTAAACAACACTAACTATTTTTTGTTCTTATGCTGCTTTAGTAAATAGATAGGAAGGTATAATATATCTACTTGTTTTAAACTTATTTTTTTTACATTTCTTCACTTGCTTCCTGGTTTTTGGCTTTGGCCAGAATTATGTCATACATCCCATTTCTTCTTGACATTTGGGTTTCTCAGCTATGCATGCCTATCCTCAGGGAAGATGGATTCCAGGACGTAAATGCTACATAAATCATCTGCCCTTACTTAAGATGGCCATGGGTAGAACTGCTAGGGGGTATTCTTCAAAGCAATTTCTCAAAACATAAAGCATGGAGACATGGATGGATGGGTGAGTTTGGTTTGAATATTAAAAACAAATAAAATAGCATTTTTGGTTTGTGGTGTTCAGATACAGGTAAGTTCTGATTTAACAATGCTGCATGAACACATTCCTAATGCTGTATGTCAAAATATGCAGCAACGGTGTGATTTTTCAAAAAAGCTACACGCTTTATCATTAAAAGTACTTCTTGAGCCCCAGCCTTGAGGTCATCAATCTGCTGCAGGCAGACGGAAGCATTTCCTCAGGGCCCATTCATGTAGGCGGCCGCTGGTTGCACCTGGTTGACCTGTGGTTTTACCTCCCCCAATTGCCCACCTAAACTAGGGCATGCAGTCACTCAGGGCTGCACCCATGCCGTGGCTGGGATGCCTTAGAGCATGGGTGGAAACCAAACTAATACTAGGAGAATATTTTACTCCATTGAGATTGGGTTCTTGGTCAGAATTAATTCTAGGACCGTAGTACTACAAGGCAAGATTGCTATTTACAACTGTGCTGCCTTCTTTTGCCCACCCCATGTTGATGTTCAGCTTTTGCCTTTATGAGAAGCTAATGACTGGGGCATAGGGGCATCTCTCTTCCCTTTGATGTTTTCCAGTCAGCAATCCCTTATATTTGGATACCTACACTACAGGACATGACTGAAACCTTTAAATATTATAAAAGAGAAGTATGGGAATATTGTTTTTATTTTTTCACCTAGGTGGATGTAGCATGATGATGCATCTGTCCCCCGCCAACTCTAAGGCTGAGAACTAAGGCTGAGAATCAGACACTGCTGGCAGATCAATTCCTCCTGACTCTCTGAGCAGAGAGTAGTGACTGTCAGTCACTGCTCTCTGCTTTGTCCCCCCCAGCACTAACTGGAGCACTGAGCTGTAGAGGGTGAGGGAGCAGCTGGCTCAGGCTCTCAGCGACATGCTGAGAGGCTGAGTCGGGTTGCTGCCCAGGCCCCTGGATGGATTCTGGCAATATGGTCGCGATCGTTTCCTAGCCTGGATCGGCTCTGTCGGCTCAAAACAGGTCACAGGAGTGCAGAACAAACTGCACTCCTGTGATCCACAGAAGTACAGCCAAATGATCTTTGACTGTAATTCTCCTTTAAGAATAAGAATATTGGATCAAGAGGGCAGTATTTTCAATTTGAAGCTAAAATCAAGAACATGGAGGCATGACCCTCAACTAGTAGGATGAAAGTTCAAAACAAACCTTAGATGTATTAGATTATTGAAAGAGTAGTTGATGCGTTGAACATACTACAGAATGGAGAGGGATTAGAACGCCTGTCATTTTTATTGCTGTCTGTGCCCCCATTAAGGAGATTCACCCTCTCTATTTGTCTTGTTTACCATTATCAATGAAATCGAAAGTAAAAGAAAAGCCCAAATTTTGGGTTGTCCCCAGAAAAGTAATAGAGGGGAAATCTTCCAATGAGGACACTCGTTCTGGTGACCTGGGGGTCTCCAAGGGATTCCTTTAATTTGCAGGGATTTCCTCTCACTTCCTGTTGGCTATGGGACAGAAAGTAAAGGGAAATCTCCAAAATGGGACACTCCAAGATTGCAAAACAAAAATCTGACAGGGGTTCTATCCATCCTGTGCTTTGATCAAAGTAAACAAAGAAAAGGTTTTGCCTATAGTTCTATTTTAACCCTTTAAGGACCACCAGCCCACAATGTACTGTGGATGGGCGGATTTTATAGGCACAGCGCTGTACCTGTGCGTCTCTGGACTCTTCCAGGTACAGGGCACATGACTGTACACAGCGGGAGTTTGTCAGCAGGTCCTGGCCAATGATTCAATTGTCCAATTACAGCCCAAAGTACAGAGAGAACAATCTCTTTATTTTTTCTCCCTGCAAAGAAGAAAGAAGAACAAAGAGTTTTTTAGCTAAAAAGCAGCACATAATACACACATTAATACTTCTTAGGCACACACTTAACCCCTTAATTACCATGAGATGTTAACCCCTCCCCAGCCAGTGTCAGAACAGTGACAGTCTATAGTATCACCACTGATCACTGTATTAGTGTCAGATTGCCCGCTGCCACATTCCAATTATAAGTCACTGATCACCGCCATTAGTAGTATAAAAATAAATAAATTAAAAATTCCAGTATATATACTATATACAGTATATATTTAGTTTGAATACACTATAACTTTCATGCAAACCAATCAATATACACTTATTGAGATTTTTTTTTTACCAAAGACATGTTGCAAAATACATTCTGGCCTAAATGTATGAAGACATTTGAATTTTTATATTTTTTTTTATTGGATGTTTGAAAATTTTGAAACCCCCCCCAATATTTCTTACTTTCTGCTATAAGTCTTTTTTCGTTTATATAATAAAAAATAAACAACCCAGTGGTGATCAAATACTACCAAAATCAAGCTCCAGTTGTGTGAAAATTATGTAAACTTTGCTTTGGTACAGCAGTGCTTTGGTACAGCATTCAATTACCAGTTAAAGTGGCGCAGTGCAAAAAAGGGAGTAAAACCTTCCAGAGCTGAAGTAGCTGAAGCAAACCCAGCCTAGTACAGCTTATTACACTACACCCAGAACTAAGCTTGCAGCAGTTACAGAGACAGCTAGCCCCTGCATCACAGGGGGGCAGGATAGTTGGTACAATACTTTTATTTAGCTCTGATGTCGCTTGACAGCTGTTGTATCATCCCACTATATTTCCAATCAGTTGCTTCTCAGCCACCGAAGCCAATTGTTCGCTTTCTATAATACTACAATGTTTTCAGGGCCTAGCATGATAAAAACACAAATATTCGGAATAGAAATATTTCCAAGGCCATATCCCTCAATAAAAAACTTATTTCATTATGAGTGTAACATTTCACAGTTTCAAGGCTGGGGACTGTTTCTTTCAAGAATGCAATGGCTTTTATTCTCCCACCACCTAAAAGTCAGATAATCCGTCAAGGTCTCTGGCAGTGGAGCAAGTTGAAAGATTCAAGCAGGACAATTAAATAAAAAGGTCTACATCATCATCATCCAAAACTTCACCTAATTATTAAAATTGAAGATATAAAATGTTAATATTTGGAACATTTAAAGCAGTAGTAGACTGTGGTCTACATAGGGACATCACTTTTCTGCTATAATTAGGCATCAAGGTATATGAATAGTTCAAAAGGACTCTCACAAACCCATACTGAGATGAAAAGTGTACCATGTGTCAATTGCCCCAAACCCAAGCCAAAGTCCCCTGGCAAATTTATCGCAAGGCAAACAAGGCATTTGTCTACGGAGCCTCCTGAGGACCTAGAGACCTGGTGAGGCTCCGCCATGGAATCTAAAGAGGCTGCGTGCTTCTGGAGGGTGTAAGCTTCCCGCACAAGGAAGGAAGACATTGGGCTTGGCTCTGGAGAGGTTAAGGCTAGTGTTTCACTAACTCGTTCTCTCTTTGCGGGCAACGGTGGGGACTGGGGGGTTGTTCTTTTTGGTGGAGAGAGAAGGTGGTGGGGCCAGGGGGGTAGGGGGATTTTGCTGGTGGTGATAGTGGGCGCCCAAGTTTAGTGGTGGTAGTGGCTACTGAGGGGGATTGGGGGGTGCTGGTGGGTGGTGCGCAATTTTAGTGGCAGTGAGGCTGGGGGGATACCCTATTTTAGTGTTGCCTAGGGCAGCACAAGAGCTAAATGCAACACTGGGAAGCCCAATCACTATCTATGCATCCTAATGTTTTACCATCAGTAGAGGGCCTCACACCCCAAAATAGAAAGCAGCGTAAGGGTACGTTGCTTTGCCCAGAGCCGCCGCCTGCCCACACATTGTGGGCAGGCAGTCGAAAAGTAAAAAAACGCTTAAACAATATTTTTTAATTCTCAAAATTCTCAGAGCAGTATTTTATTTCATTTTTATTAACATTTTTTAAAAATACCTTTATCAGAGTAGTACAATATTACCACGGGGGGGGGGGGGGGGGGGGGGGGGGGGGGGGGGGGGTGATCAGGGATTTTTTTCTTCCTTTCACATTTTGCATTGCAGGAGCATGAGCAATAAAGATAATTGCTTCTGCAATAATCAGCTTGTTTTGATCTGTCATGAATGGGTTGACAGTTCAAAATAATAGTGATCTGTAATTGGCTAGAGCTGTTCACATGGTACATGGTGCTGTGATTGGCCCCATGTACCATGTGAGAACTGTGGGTCAATCACAGCTCACCAGAAACAGAAGCAAACCAGTTATGAATCAGATTGATTCATAACAGCTTTGCTGTCATTGTGATCATGTCATCGTATGCAATCGGGTCCTGTTTACCGGGATCCACATACCACTGTGTCCTGTGGACACAGCAGTCGTGGGGGGGAAGCGCTGCTCCCTTTGCCTGTAGCTGCCGCCTGTCCACAGTACATGGCGGGTAGGCAGCAAGCAGTTATAAGTTGCACTGAATAAATAAAGCTGGATAAAACATAAAACTGTGTCTGTCTTCATTTTAGGCTGCAAAGCAACACGATGTGATTATTTTAAAGGGGGTGATTCTTTCTTATACCCAGTGTATATACTGTAACTGTTTTGATACAATAAAGTTTAGATTACATTTTAAACCTCCCTATTTGCCTAGATCTCAGTTCATGCTTGTTACCAGTGTAGAATTATTGTTGGCAAGAGATTAGGATTTTTTTTCTTATGGAGATTTTTGTTGACTTTAGCATCAACTCATTTGTACTCCTAATATAACAGCAAGTATTATGATGTAAATCCGTGCTATAGCAATGTGATTGGCTGCTTGCGACAATGGTTGGATGCACCCAAACCAAAACAAAAATACAATAGCGCAGCGCCAGTAAAACAATCAGAACACGCACCTGCTGTTCTGAATGGCAGGGTGATCTGCCCCCTCCTTCAGGGCGGGGTACGGTAGATTACATAAAGATGGCCCACATCAGACAGTAGAGGACCCCTTGAGAACATCCAATTGGATGAAATGCATTGTGGCAGGCAACATGCCAACTGTGTTTCTTAGGCTGTGATTGGCCCACAGCTGTTACATGGTATCTGGTCCAATCACAGCACCCTGTACCATGTGATTAGCTGTAGACAATCACAGATCACTAGTGATCACAGTTGCCATGAATGTAACCCATTTGAGACAGTTGAAAATGTTGCTGTCATAATGAACTTTACTGTAACAGCAAAGTGGTAAAAAAAATCCCTGATCACCCCCTCAGAGTAGTACAGTGTAACTATGGTGATACTGAACTACTCCGATGAAAATATGTTTAAAAAAATAGTAAAAAACGGGGAGAAAAAAGTTAGAAAATGGAAAATAAAAGTTGAAAAATTAATTACCGTATTTTTCGCTCCATAAGACGCACCTGACCATAACACGCGCCTAGGTTTTAAAGGTGAAAAACAAAAAAAAAATATTCTGAGTACAGGAGATGACCAGAGACTGCGGACATAGTACACGAGATGACCAGAGACTGCGGACATAGTACAGGGGATGACCATAGACTGCAGACATAGTACAGGAGATGTCCAGAAACTGCAGACACAGTACAGGAGATGCCCAGAGACTGCAGACACAGTACAGGAGATGACCAGAGACTGCGGACACAGTACAGGAGATGACCAGAGACTGCGGACACAGTACAGGAGATGACCAGAGACTGCGGACATAGTACAGGAGATGACCAGAGACTGCGGACATAGTACAGGGGATCACCATAGACTGCAGACATAGTACAAGAGATGTCCAGAGACTGCGGACACAGTACAGGAGATGACCAGAGACTGCAGACACAGTACAGGAGATGACCAGAGACTGCGGACACAGTACAGGAGATGACCAGAGACTGCGGACACAGTACAGGAGATGACCAGAGACTGCGGACATAGTACAGGAGATGACCAGAGACTGCGGACATAGTACAGGGGATCACCATAGACTGCAGACATAGTATAAGAGATGTCCAGAGACTGCGGACACAGTACAGGAGATGACCAGAGACTGCGGACACAGTACAGGAGATGACCAGAGACTGCGGACATAGTACAGGAGATGACCAGAGACTGCGGACACAGTACAGGAGATGACCAGAGACTGCGGACACAGTACAGGAGATGACCAGAGACTGCGGACAGTACAGGGGATGACCAGAGACTGCAGACAGTACAGGGGATGACCAAGAGATTGCAGACAGTTCAGGAGATGACCAGAGACTGTGGACCTTTGGGGAGGGAGGGGGAGCAGGTACCTGAATTTGACAGGTACCCGCTCCCACTTCCACTGAGTTGTCCTCCCTTTAGTGTGGGCACCTGGCCGACAGCCGTGTGCCCACTCTGCATGCGCTAGAAGCGCTGCACTTTGTTAATGGCCCAGCATTTCTGGGACCTGTCATGTGTCCCAGAAGATGCTGGGCTATTCACAAAGTGCAGCGCTTCTCACGCATGCGCAGTGGGCACCCGTCACAGGTGCCCACACTAAAGATGTTGACGAGGGAAGACTACAGCGCTGGACCGAGAACAGGTAAGGTCCTGCTACAGAGAAGAGCTGAGCGGCCGGCCCAGTATTCTGACACGGTGGAAATACCGGACCAGCCGCTCCATATTCGCTCCATATGACGCACTGACATTTTCCCTCCATTTTTGGGGGGAAAAAAGTGCGTCTTATGGAGCGACAAATACGGTACTTTTTTTAATTTTAAAGAAACTCTCACCAGTCAGTGTATCTGTTCACCGCCATACCAGTCATATGATGACGCTGTATTGCAATGGTGACAGTATGTACCAAAAAGTGTGTAAAATGTTTTCAATTTCTTCATTTTGAAAACAAACTGACAAAAATCACAACTAAAAAAACGTGCCATGCCTCTTACTAAATGCCTCAGAGTGTCTGCTTTCCAAAAAGGGGAAATTTATACTGTCCTAGCATTTTAGGGCCTCAAGAAATGAGATAGGACATCAGTACATCAGAAATGTTCAATTTTATGAAGTATATACCACAGTTTGTAGACACTATAACTTTTACACCAACCAATTAATATACACGTATTAGGATTTTTTTTTTACCAAAGACATGTAGCAGAATACATTTTGGCCTATATATATGGTACAATTTGATTTTACTGCATATGTTTTATAACAAAAAGTAAAAAAAAAATCTTTTTTTTTCAAAACTTTTGGTCTTTTTTCATTTATATCGCAAAAAATAAAAAAACTAATTGGCGATCAATTACCACCAAAAGAAAGTACTATTTATATTAAAAAAAAATAATAAAAATGTATTCTATGACACAATTGCTGGTTAAATTACCACAGTGCTGAATAGCAATAAATGCCCTGGTCATGAAGAGGGTAAAATCTCCTGGAGATCAAGTGGATAATGGGTAAGATGAGTTGAGAACGAAAACATTGCGCAGATGCATTATCACACACGATTCACTAGCCAGTCCAGGCCAATGCTGATATTTCTCTCATACATGTAAAAATCTGCATTTTTTTTTTAATAGAAAATGACTAAGAACCCTCAAACATGATATATTTTTAAGCAGAGGCCCTGGAGAATAAAATGCAATTTTTTATGCTGCACAATACTTACACAGTGGTTTATCAAGTGCAAATTTTCCGGACAAAATATAATATAATGAATTTTAGTGCACACAAACACAATACAGAACCCAATTTTTTGGTAAAAAATAAAAGATGATGTTACGCCGAGTAACAACACGCTTTAAATTTGCATGTGCCCCGTGGAATGGTGACAAACTACAGTACCTAAAAATCTCCATAGGTGGTGCCATAAAAGCTTTCATAGGTTACCAGTTTAGAGTTGCAGGAGTTCTGGCACTAAAATGATTGCTCTCATTGTGAAGTTTGTGATGACACCTCACATCTGTGATGTGATCACCATTTACATATGCGTGCAGGGCCTACATGCGTGCCTGCATTTGAGTGTAAGCACAGGGGGACAGAGGAGCTTTTAAAAAAAAAAAGTATTTTATTTTATTATTTGTTTTATTTAGATTTATTTTTTCACATCGTCTCTTATTTTTTTAACTTAATTTGCTATCACAAGAACAACATCCCATATGATAGCATGGGCAGTGACAGGTCCTCTTTATGGGGACATTTGGGGTCTATTAGACCCCAGATCATTCCTCTGCCCTTCAAAGCACCGAGATCGGTTTCATTGGCTGCTTTACAAGTAGTAATGACTTGTGAACAAGCAAATCAAAACTGCAAGTGGCAAAATCCTTGTGGCTTCTGGTTTCTGACTTCACAGAAGAGGGGAAGGTACTTCCGTGGGTCAATCACCTGATGAAAATAGAAAAAAGAAAGCCTAAAAACAGAAACTAATACAGCCATCACATCTAAGAAATGCAAGTTGCAATATAATAAATGTTGATGTTTGAAATGATGTTAACTTGTTAAAGCAGTATTAGAAACCAAAAGCAATTTATGATATTTTTAAATCTGCAGCTTTGATTTATATGCTTAGGCACTTCCTGTTATGAGATGACAACTCTGTCCCTGTTTCCCAATCGCTCCCCTGCATTGTCAGCCTCTCATAAGCAACTAATTTGATGCACATTATGCAAACGTGGCCCACTATTGTGACCATCCAGAAACCTATCTTGAAGTGATATTAACATTTTTTATTTTTTCTTAAACTAAAAAAAAAGATGTTATATTACCTGCTCTGTTAATGATATTCCACAGAGCAGCCCCTTACCTCCCCTTCCAGAGTCCTCCACCAGCTCTGCTTGCTCCTCCTCAGCAAGCCGGATGCTAATGGGTACTCATGTGGGCATGCTCCTGAGTTGGGCTGTGTGTATGCATATACACACGCAGCCCAGCTCAACCATGCCCCTGATCCCTCCTCACAGGATTTGACTAACAGCAGTAGGAGGCAACAGCTCCCACTGCTCTCAGAGTCTCCTGTGACACCAGGAAGTCAGTGGAGTGACGCTACAGTCAGGGGACAGCACTGGATCATGAGAGGAGACAGGCAAGTGTTTAGGGATGGAGGGGTAACAGTTAGTTCTGTTTGTTTTTTTTTTTTATCTTAGTGCAGGGAATGGATTAATGGTAAAAACATTTAGGCCTCGTTCACACCATACATATTTATACAACCTTATATCATCAGCGTCTCCTGTCTGCAGCTCTGATAGTGTCATATTACAGGCATTGTTGGTGATTATTGTAGGTTTGTTGTGGGTTCAGAAAAAAATAAAAAAGTAATCTATTTTGGGAAATAATCATAAAATATACAGTAATAAAAAATAAAGATGAAATAAAAGCACACCAGAAATGAAAATATCTGATCTGGAAAGCTGTATATTAAGTGAAAAGGCTCAATTCAGTGTTAACGTAGAAATATTTATAAATCTTTATTCAAGCCATGGGACTGTACATTTTAAATATCAAGATAACTGTCACCTTAAAAACAAACGAAAAAAAAAACCTTTTGGTATGTGAGATCTGTATACTGAGCCCTGAGGCTGAATTCACAAAGCTAAAACACAAGGAGAAAGGTTCTTTGTACTGTCCTGGCATTTTAAGGACCTCAAGAAATGAGATCGGCTGTCAGTACATCAGAACTGATCAATTTTCATATATATATACCATAGTCTATACACTGTAACTTTCACACAAACCAATTAACATTGCACTTATTGGGGTTTTTTCATCAGACATGTAGCAGAATACATTTTGTCCTATATTTATGAAAACATTTGATTTTTTTGAATATGTTTTATAACAGAAAGTAGAAACTATTGTTTTATTTTTCAAAATGTTATAGAGCTAAAACTATCCAGAGCTTAAGCAATTAAAAAAAATTGTCAGTTATTTTTGGCTGAGTGCCAGATTTTTAAAAAAAAAGGTCACGTGACTGGTCACATGACATCATCAGTTGAGCCAGTTTAAGGCAGATCTCAGAAGGATCCTGTCAGTTTCTAACTGCTCAGAAAACGGTGAACACAAGTTATTTTTTGCTCTTGCAATTTCTAACTTGTGAATCCATTCTTGCGATTTCATTCTTGATTTCATCCTTGGTTTCATCATTTTTCAGAATGAAATTCTTTACATGCAGAAAGGCTGTTTATCATATTAACATTAGAGAACGCCTACTTATAGAGGGAGGTATCACTGAACAACCTTCAGATACCCCAAACAAGAAGCCCACAAAAATGCATTCTGATCTCTCACTAATCCCTTTTAGGCTCCATGCACACGGGGCGTTTTATTAACATCGGTAACGTTAGCTGTGTAAAGTCACGGGTATAAACTTCAGTTTTTCAGCGTTTTTGCATTAGCATTTAGCAGTATTTTGCCACTTTTTTTCGTGTTTTTTTTGGTAAAACAAAATCCAAAAATGACGGTTTGCTGCGATTTACCGCGTTTTGCTGCGTTAGAGCATTTTTACAGCTAAAAAACTCCTCTAGAAACCCACTAGTTCTGTTTTTATTTTCCAGCCAAAAAAAGTCCCTGCCAAAAAACATTGATTACAGTCTATGTGTGTGCATGGACACATAGGATAACAAGCTGGGGGGTTTACTGGCTTCAGAAAAAACGTCAAAAGCCCAAAACAGCCGCTGTACAAACATCCAATGTGCATGAGGACTTAATTGGGACCAGTTTTAGAATTGTTAGCAGCTCTTTGGTCTCCTTGGACTGTAGAATGTCTCTGTTCATTTATAACAGAAAATAAATCCTCCTCCACAGTTCCACAATAGTTGGTGTCAGTGAGGTGGGGGGTGTCACTTAGGATTCCCAGTAACTGAAGTCCCGTTGGTTAAGAATAATTAAAGTGGAGTTAAACCTAAATCCAAAAATGTGACATATTGAACCTCACCAATCATTAGATGTGGAGGCTGCATTAGTTTTCTTCTTTTAGCCTTTTTTTCCCTCTGTTTTCACCTGGTCATCCTGTAGTAGAGTGTCCACACTCTGGATGAGGGAGCACAGGGGGCACCTTTGGAAAGCAGCATTGTCAGTCTTGGGGGGGGGGGGGGAGAGTTAGATTTACTAGCAGATTTAGCTACACTAACAAATTGCATCCATACTCCAGCTAACACTGCAGTTACACAAACAACTATAGAAACAGCTTTGTTCATTTTGAGATAACGGTTTTACATAAATAAATGAATAAAAACTGATCACTG